GCAGGAATGGCAATTTCTGGCAAGGGAAAATCTCTCAAACTACCATAACCAACTTCACAGTGATTATCCATCAATACCATTTTCAGCCTTCTGCTACGTAACTTCTGATTTTATGGAGAAACTTGTTTAGCTCAGGTGCACAGGAAGCATAACTAACTAGTACATAAAAAATCTGCACCAAAGTCATTCAACTTGCTTATGTTACTATCCTTTCTATCCAACATATTACCTGTGTCAAGCACTTAAGTTATACCACATTAAAAATAGCACTGAGGGGAAGGTTTCTTGGGTTTGGGGGTTTTTTTGGTTGCTTGGTTTTGCATTTGGGGTATTTTTTTTTTTTTTTTAATAAACCACAAGAAAACAAGTGTGGTCCCTGTAAAGTTACATCTTGCACTTTCAAGAAGCTTCTTGTCAAAACAGGAAAATAAGAAACACATCAGTGAGGGCAAGATAAGAACTCGCATTAAAAGACTGAACTGGTGGTTTATTAAAGCCTCACTTGTTCACAAACATTACTGGCACATCCCTTTATTTTTTACACAAAGGCATTATAGCCATTTATTTTCTACCATAGCTTATTTAATCACAGAGAGTACATTTTAATAGCTTAATTATGATATCCTAAGTGTTTATTATAATGAATTACAAGAAGACTTCTTTCAAAGTTATCACACCCTGAAGACCTTCACCAAGTCTCCATACCAGCATTTCAGTTGCAGACTACCTTTACAACAAAGCACAGGTAGCACCCTCTCCCCTCCAGCACAGAGTTCTCAGCCCTTCCCACTCCATAACCCCATGGAATGAAAAAATCTGAGAACTTCTGTCATGATGCTAAGCAAGCGACTAGCCCAGCCCGTACAGAAACTAAGCTTCAGTATCTACACAAGTATTATCAAGAGATAACTTTACAACAGGCTAGCAAGGTGCACATCAGTCCCATTAAAATACAGCACTGACTGCACCAGCAGCTACTACGTTTTGCTAACCTGACCTAGAAAGTCTGTACTTGCTCATTTCT